TTAAAACATTGCGCTGTGTGTAGTGTCTGTCAGGTTAGTTTATACACAGGGTGTTTGTTCACTTTAAGTTGATGCTTTTTATAGAAGTGAGCGAGCAGAAAACGTAGAAATAAAGAAAAATCTCATGTAAATACTTTTTGTAGTAGACTAATGATGTCAAATTTATTTATAAAGATTTTCAACTACATTTTCAAGCTTGGTTTTAGCCCATTGCGGTGTATTTTTTATGCGGAGAAGAGGCATTAGAGATCAGATCTAGAGCTCTCTATCGATCTCCGATCAGACTGATTAAAGCCGTACTTTTATTTCTCATCTCCATGTGTTTTAATTTCTGTGTAGGAGCAGAAAAGCAATGATGCGTCGAGGGCACGTGTTGTCACGGCTTCTCCACCAGTGACTAGATGACACAGACAGTATCTGTTGCCATGGTCTTCAGGAGTATAAATAACTGCTGACAAAATTAGCTGGCATCGACGTCCCTCCCCCAGGACGCTGGGCCTTCTTCACTTGAAGGTTCAGCCCAAGTTCACTTTCCCGCTTTCCTCCTGTTGTGTTTTAATGAGTTGGAAAATGCCCGCTTCACTTGATTCAATTATCGAGCCATCTCTCTGTGCATGTCAGCCAAATTAGCTGGTAGGCTAACTTTTTAGTCCCTCACACACACCACACGCACCGTGACTCTTCTAAATGAGCCAAGGAGTCAGAGGAAAGGTCAGTACAGGATGGATGGCAGCAGAGAGGGCGAGAACAAAAACGACCCAGGGAAGTCTTGATAGCGGGAAGTAAGGTGAAACAGTTGTGCTAACACCAGGAAACCCAGTGTAGTTGCGTGTATTTCCTGCCCATGATCAGTTCCAGCGCAAACTGATTTTTCTGCAGGTCAACTGATCTTTCCTGCCTGTTGACGAAATCCAAAGCCTCTAACCACATTTAAAGGAATATTCCAAATTTACATGTAAATACATGAGCAGAATAAATAAAAAAAAAAACAAGTTTGGATAGAATTATCTGAGCTTCTGTTAAGAGATGGTCCTTTTGTGTATCCTTTATTACCTTTAGCTCGGAGAGATTACTTTCCTTTCAGATTCATGAGGTGGATTTACAGATGGTGTTCTTTACTGAGGACTGTAAGAGATCTATAGTAGGAAGAAAAACTTGGGGGAAAAAACAAGTTTTTGTAGGTAATTGATTGACTATACAATTTATAACAAAGGCAAATGATCAGAGCCCAGGCTTTGGATTCTGGGCTGAAAATGAGCAGTCACTGGCTTTACTGACTGTCCTCATTTCAAAAAGGTGATTATAGTTGGGAGGCACATGAGGGAAAGGAGGTGAGTTTAATCAAAAATGTGTTACTTCATTTTCTGACTGTGAGATGAGCCGACAAAGCATAATCTTGCTGCGGTTTAAAATTACGGGCCACAGTGTGTCTTATGTGTGGCTGCGTCGTGCTGTCTTTTGATGCCGGTCCAAAAGAACGTATGATTCCTGAACCGTACATGTATATAGTAGCTACAGTCAGGTGTTTCACATTTGATAGCCTTAGTCTAAATCTATAATCGTTTATGGTATATTCAACCAGATAACAAAAGTAGAATATTTGGCACCTGAGCCTTTTTTAAATCTTATCTTCAGTATCTTCAATGACAATAAATCAGTCCGTTCATCAGGTTTTTCCAAACTCGCTTAGGCGATGCTTAGGATTTTGCTTCAGAGACTTAAAAGTGGGAGCACTGGTTAGAAACAGAGGAAATCATCAAAAGTCAAAATTCATGATGCTCTTTGTTAGCATTATTTGTTACTCAGCATGGTTACTATCCAAATCTCTGCTGTGGTATCTAGTAAGGAGCATAATCAATTTGTTTTCAACATAATACGAGGGTTTATTTAAGTTACAAATATTGTACATTGTTCTGTGTTATAAATATAAGAAAATAAAATTCTTGTTAAGCTCCTGAAGGCCACACAAAAGGACTTAGAGGGCCGCATTTGGCCCGCGGGCCTTAAGTTTGACACCTGTGAAATACAGTATAATGCGTTTTTCCCCCAAACTTTTAGTTCCAAGTTATACCTGGGTAATCTTATTTTATTCCAGCCAAGGCTCCTCATTATTGTGACTGAAGTCCTAAAAGAAATGATTGTATGCTAGCTCTGCATTACCTCTGTCTAACGAGCCGCAGACGGAGGTAAGGGCTTTGTTAAGGCAGGGCCGAGGACGGGAGAAATGGGAGTTTTCTATTCTCTAGTGATCAATCTGAAACATTAAGTCCACTGTTGTTTTTACTTTTCCTGGGGTTAGCCTTTGTATGACTGGAGTGGCTGCTCCTTTTTTGTTTTGTTATCAGTGCTCTTGTGTCTGCTGCTCTGACTTCTGTTGCCAAAGGAGATTTGTGACCTGGCTGCAGAGCATCAACAGAGGGTACAGACACAAAAGCAGATATCAGGTGAGTAATGGACAGTTAGCGCCGGAGATTGGAGGCCTGCCATGCTGTTACTTTCACAGCAGGTCCTCCCTCTGCCTTATCAACACTACAGCCTGCTCACCTCGTCTGATTGAACCAGCCTCACCACAGTTTTTCCTCTTTCTTTTCTCGTTCTCCCTCCACTAGTATTTTTACTTGTTGTGAACTGTTCCTATTATCTTATTCCAACCTGCCCAGTGTTTTCAGAACATGCAAGAGTTTGAGGTTGTGTTTTGGAGGCCGAAATTCCTTGGAAAAGCCTTTCCTCACTGTTTGACATTTTTCCTGCGTTTCCCTCTCATCGCAGTTCCTTAACTCGCTTGTAATGTTAATCAGAACGAGTGTGAACTGTCACATTAAAAATGTAGGAAATAATGAGACCCAAGCCCATAAAGATCAAGGTGTAATTAAATATTCATGAACTGGCTGCAGTTTTATAGGTCATGTCATTTAATGGGGCAGCTGGATGGTGTGGTGAGGCTATTAAAAAGTGTCTAAGCTTTTACTGTGATGTCTGATTACCTGGAGTGGAAACAGAATACTGGAGTTAGAGAGGGGAACACGACTCTAATTAACAAATAATCAAAAAATATCTAATAGTGAGAGGAATATTTTAATAGAAGAAATAGGGAGATGTGATACCCAACTCTACTGAGGTGTGGAAACTTATTTAGTTATTTTCCTTCTAACCCTATCTCTTGGATTTTCTAAAAAAGGTAAAAAAGTTGGGCTTAACTTGAATAAAATAATATATGAAATGTTAGTCTATGATGAAACAAAAAATATTTTTATTATTATATTTTTTGCTAAATGGCACACTTGTATATCAGTATTGATTTTGGAATTCAGAAGCAGAATTTAATCACTTTTTCAAATTTCCTCAGTCATCCTATACATAAAGAACTAGGCCAAGAGAGTTATGTGACAATTTTAAGGCACCTTACTCTAAGACTATATAACGGTCAAGTATTTTTGAAGAGCTGAAAAATCCCAAAATGTTCAGAAGGATTCCGAGCGTCTGTATAAACCCTTTACCTAAATAACTTAGCAAAGAGACTCAGACTGCAGAAGGAAAATGGAAGAAAATATAAAAACAGAAAGTCTCTCAGTGAGTCACGCTGTAGAGAGGAGAGAAATACAGGGCACAGTTTGTTTTCACTGCACGGCGGTTGTTGTGAGATAAAAACGGAAAAAGATAAAAATGTAAATGAAGTGTCTCTGTCCACGAGGAGCAGAGACGCTACCTGCTTGGTGACTTTGAATTTATTTTATGCCTGTTAGAGAACAGTGAGGCGGTATTTGAGTGCTGATAAACTAAATAAAACATGAGCGCAGTTCATGTGGGAGCAGTGTTTGTTTAGACGCAGCTTGATTTGTGGAGGTTAATTAGATGTTGGTGCCGGATCTGTTTTAAGTCATTCATTTTAGACATGAGACGTTTCAGTAAATGGCTGCACGGAATATGAATACCAGACTGTGTGAGACTTTTAAACCTAAACAGTGAGTCGTCCTCTTTGACCTTCACCATATTTAATGCCATCTAAAACGGCCGCTTGTCCTATAGCTATTATTTACCTTTGGGCAGAAATGTAGCCATATTTGCATTTAACATTATTTTACCTTTACATTCTTGACCTGAAATATCATTTAACATTTTTATATTGCCAACTATCGCCATCTTTCCTAATTGATTTCGTTAATCACGAGTGCTTTAAGACATGTTTTTCAAAAAGTTACAAGGTTTACTTTAAAGTTTACAAGGCCAAAAATATGTTCCTGCTAAAACTTACTTTACAAATGAATATTTTCTTGTTAACAATTAATATGTTATTGTGCTAATGTTTCATGTAAAATTTTGTTTTCATGTAACGTGATGTAATTTGGGTTTCAATAATATTTTGTATTAGGAAAAAGACTTCATTCTAATGATAAAACTCGAGTCCATTTTGGCAAAATGTGTTTTGTGAATTCTGTCCGTATAAATATAAATGCCTTCACTGACATCATCAATCAAGTAAACAAATGTTACTCACTTCATTATTGTGTATTTTTGAGTGCCACAGACAAAACAGTTTGTAGGGATTATCATATTTTCATCGTCGTCCCAGGAAATAAGTGTGGAGATCAGTTAACAGGAGAGTTAGTTGAAGTCGGCTAATGAAAGTGATTTTTCACCCTGGAAGAACAATCATGTCCAACAAATGCACGTGCTCAGTGGTGAACTTTCACCACAACAGATTTGACTTGTCATGACTCAGTTTTCGACAACTTGCCTGCTTCGTATTTCTCACTCTTTCATTTAAATGCCAGCTCAGCAAAGTGAGCAGTGCTGGGATGAAAACACAGATGGCATGAGTGAACGTACAGCGCAGACATGGGTGTTGGTAATGTTGAACCAGAGTGAAAGTTCACGTTTGTGTTAGTGGTCAGTTAGTGGGTCAGGTGTGTACTGTGAGACGTTCAGGGCCCAGCAATGCAAACCACCCGCCAGCAGGTCAGAGTTAAATGAGGATACATGAATGATCCCTCCCCCCTTACCCTCCATCTCCACACTGATTGGCTCCGAGTCAGGTGACCCTTGTTCCCCCCCTGGGGGAGGGCCATCGGGACCTGTACCTCTTTCAGGGTCACCTGCCTCCTTTGGAAATTCAGCCCCATGATGGGTCGTGCTGGCGCTTGTGGGTGTGGTCTTTCCTGCGGTTGTGACGAAGGAGGAAGGAAGGAGGAGGAGGAGGAAGGAAGGGGGGGGGGGGGGGGAGGGAGGGGGGGGGGGAAGGAGGGGGGGGGGGGGGGGAGGGGGGGGAGGAGGGGAGGGGGGGGGGGAAGGAGGGGGGGGGGGAGGGGGGGGGGGAAGGAGGGGGGGGGGGAAGGAGGGGGGGGGGGAGGGGGGGGAGGAGGGGAGGGGGGGGGGAGGGGGGGGGGAGGGGGGGGGGAGGGGGGGGAGGAGGGGAGGGGGGGGGGAGGGGGGGGAGGAGGGGAGGGGGGGGGGAGGGGGGGGGGGAGGGAGGGGGGGGGGGAGGGGGGGGAGGAGGGGAGGGGGGGGGGGAAGGAAGGGGGGGGGGGGGGGGGCAACAGAGTGAGTGATTAGTGAAATGTGAATCAGCCACCAAGACAATTAACTGCACACAAAAAAAAATTAAAAATGAGGGTGAGTGGAAAGAAAAAAAAAAACATCACCTGTTAACACAGAGAGCCAGTGATGACAATGAGCAACATGATGAGTGACAGAGCATAAGTTAAATCACTTCATTCCACCACAGCAAACAGTAAGTACTGCTGAATACTTAAACCACATTACTCCTTCAAAAACTCCTAGTTTTTGGCCTTGTGTATTTGCTGTGTCAAATCTCTAATTTTAAGTTTGTTTTTTCCTCAGTAATATCCAGTTGTTTCTGTCTTCTTGAAGAAAAAGAAGCCAAGATACAAACAATCTCAAAAATGGTAAATGTCTGGTTTTACAGACTGAAAAATATATTTGGGTAAGTTCTACAGAACGTGAAGTTTGTTATTTCTGGTTGATACTGCTTGTTGTCCTTTAATTACTAAGCGTCTGCACATGCTGCTCACTGCTTTAACAGCAGTCAGCTCGAGATCTATGAGGTTTCCAAGTTGGCAAACTTCCACGGTAGTGCTTTTGGTCTTATAATGCTTCTGTGCCTGTGGAGAGGTAAAATGGTGCTAGGTTACCACGGCACTGCGCTCGAACAGACGGCAGCACAATATTCCAAAAATAACAAGATCCATTTGGCAGAGAGGAATTAAAAAGTGTGTGTTTTGGAGGGAAATCACGACAAGCTCCGAGTACAAACACCTTCAAAACTTCAGCAGCGACATCTATTACAATACTGAAGACCTCGGACCTGAGACTTCTGAGTTCCTGCCCTGCACAGACCCAAAACCCGCTATTAAAACTTATCCGTGTCTGCTTTATCAAGTGTTTCCACAGATGGGCTGCAGTAGATACTGATGTTTCCACTCCCTCACCCAGACTGATCTGTTTCACAGAAACAAACTCTCATGTTAAGCCATGAGCAGCTAAAGAATTGCTGCATCGTTTCCAACATGTATTAAAAACACACACACACACACACACACATTAGGTGCTAGCTTCCTGCCAACTTCCTCATATTACAAACTACTCCTGTCGTGATGAAACAGTCCAACTTTTGATGGAATTATCAGCTCTGTTGTCCTTGAGGTGAGGTGAACAGCATGCTGCTGTCATCCTGGGGCCCCGCACTAATAGGTCGGCCATAATGTTGGCTCTCTGCAGAGCCGACCGACACCCAGTGGACAGGAGAAGGTTTTTTTGTTTTCTCCCCTAACTGTGAGCCAGTAGACAACGTTCACTATGAATGAGTGGCCCCTGCAGTAAACCATCTGCGCTGGGGAAATTAAAACTGTACACCAGAGGTTGTCTGGCGCAGAACTTATTCATTACCTCGATTCATTACAAGTGTGTTCTTCTCCCTGTGCATGTTGCATTATGTTGCCTGACCTCTTTTACTTTTGATAAAGTGAGGAAACTTTTGATCACCCACACAGACAGGTGTTTGACTCGCCCTTTCTTCTGTTGCCTGTGATTACTTAGGTGACAGAGGGAGAAAAAGGAAACGATGATAAACATGGTGGTGTTAAGTGAGCTTTCAAAAACCGGCAACCAAAGCCCCAGTTTGACAACAGCTTTGTTCAGCATATGAAGTCTGTTATTGTTTAGGGAAAGCTGATAATTGATCTTCAGGGCACAGACTTAAAACGAGGTTTTTGTTTGGATCCGTTTCGGGGAACAAATGACAGAAAATATGACAACAAACAGAATCCAACTGCATGTTTAAAACAGACAAAACACAACCCCTGAAATAGTAACAGTGAAGCACACTGGTGGCCAAAGCCTCACGGGATTAAACACTAGGGTCGCTCATCAAGTCACCCTACCAACTGGTCGGTAATTCTCCTCTGGCAGTTAGGCTGTAAAGACTCCACTGTGGCACCGTGAGGACGTGGGGATCCACACTGAGGCCTGTGATGGACAAAGTGGCCTCTGTTCTAAGGGAGTCACTGAAATAGATGCAGGATGGATGGTCCTGCTAAGCTGTATTGGCTGACATCTCCTAGTGTGACACTAAAACTAATCACCGCTTTGGATCAAACACTGCCATTAGCTCCCCTGTGGCCCCATTTGCTTAGTGTCAAAGTGTTCGGACCGGGAGCAGGTCTCCGAAAGTTATTGAAAAAGTTCAGGACATTTAGTCGTACGGCTGTGAAAGTAAAAATGGAGCATGCAACTATCTTACTGAAAACGGCCGACTTTAAGCGTTGCGGCTTAAAAACTGACATTGTCTCCTCAATCTTATCCCAGAGCAAGCCAAACTGGCAGCATTTCCATTTCTATTCCAACCGTGCCAGGGGCAGTGTTGTGTGGCCGACGGGGGAGTAATGGGACGTGACAGGGATGATGATCCTTCTTGATACAGGGCATTAGGCAGCCTTGCCGGCAAAGCTGCTAGTCCATCAAAGGAATGATTCTTCAGACAATGGCGTCAATGTTTGAGCTGTCGGAATGGCCAGAGAGGTGACCAGCCATTTAGCTGTCTCCCAAAAAGTAGTGTTTCGCCTCCCCCCATGATACCGTTTTAAAGTAAAGAGAATGGGGATTTGCTTTGTGAGCATTAAACTGAATCAAATCTGATAAGGTATCTCTGAGTAAAGAGGAAGGAAAGTCACATAATCAAAACAACTGCTGCAGATAGTAAGATAATTAATGTACAGGCACATATGTTCCGAGCAGCAAAAGACTTTGACAAAGGACAAACAGATAATGGCATCGGGAATAAAATGCATTCGGACATCATAATCTGACACATGGCCTTATCTTCTTCTCCCAAAATATACTTTATACACACCAAGTTGCACTGGCCTTAGAAAATGTGTTGTAGGAAAAAAACACAAGCTCTAAAGTCCTTTAGAAAAATCATCTAAACTTGAGTCATTATTCTCAAACCTTTTTTGTAAAATCTTGATATTCCTCATCCTACACTTCGACGTCTGCTTTCACTGAATTCATCACAACAGTAAATCAACAATTATTGTAAGTTTTTAGCTCTATGTGACACACTGGTGCCGTTCTATACAACACTGTAGTTGTCTTTTGTCAGAGTCGATCAAGTTGTGTCATGCATTGATATAAATTACCAGTCGGCACAGCCTGGTTAATCACATGGGGTTTATGACAGTACTGCGGCTTTAACGTATATGACTGTACCGTTAAAAAGGGAATTTCCAGTGTTTTCACTACGTTTATGCAAAATAAAAAGTATTACCCAATGGCCTGGTACTGATCTCTAAGTCTAAACTGGAGGCCATACGCTGTCTGACCTCAGCTCGTACCACCTGATAAACCTGGACAAACAATGCATAATAATGCATTGTAATTGTATTTAATGCCTAGACTTCTGAGTGTGGTACACAATATTTCTAAGGCCTTGGGAAATGCGTTTTTAGGTGTTTATAATTATAAATCACACAAAAAAGAGGAAACAAACATGTCTGTGTCTGTCTGTCTGTCTGTCTGTCTGACCAGATTATTGTGTGAATGGACAGTTGATATCACCAACAGAAATAATCTGTGGAAAATTACTGTCATACAAAAACCACTCTCTATTTCCCATGATGCCACGCTGTTGACTGACAAAAACTGTCATTTCTCACTGTCTGTGCTCAGGTGAGGCTGTTAAATAATCAGATAAAGACAAAAAATCCACTGACCATACGCCGAATCTAGTGCTGTATTCTGCTTCCGTGTAGTTGCCAGGACGTCTGAAAAAGAGAAATATACAAAACATTAGTCCAGGTTGGTTTTTTGGCTTTGGTTTTTTTCTTTCTAAAACAAACAAAAAAAAAAACTTCTTGTGAATTAACACAGAAAGTTAGAGAAGTATATTGTGGCAGAGAACCTTTACTGGAGATGGTGAAAACTACATCTAAAATTTGCATATGGAGATGGTGAAAACTACATCTAAAATAAGTTGTCAACACAATTTGCATTTCTGCCTTCAGTGAAATAAATACATCATCATTTTCTATTATAATTTGTTAGATGTGCAATAACTTGTGCTGCTGTCATCGCTCCGTCATCAGGATCTGATTTCACTCTGCAGATTTACTCCTCTCTCTTTGTTTATTGCTTATGTAAATCACGGAGAATTTAATCAAACGTCTCCGGCTCACCGTGGCAGGTATCTGGTTGCTGAGAGAAGCCGTTCTCCACATCCTGTTCGAAACCACCCCTGGAAAAAACACAGACAAGACAAAGAAACTCATCGGTGAATTTGCCTAAGTCCATTCCTAACACAGTCCTTTATTGAGTTTCGCTGAGATTTCTTATGGTGATGAAGGCCTGCAGAGAGGAAGACGAGGACGTTCACTGTAACCAAATGTTATTTGTCTTCATCTATAAATCCTTGTTTGGACACAGTAGTGACTCAGACCTGCAGGAGAGAAAAATCCCAGCTCTGATTCTAATGTTGTTGAGCAGACGCTCACAACTGTGCTTTCTGCTTAGAGGATGTCATTTCCTTTTGTATTTTCTTTTGCACTGTCTCTCCCTCAACTTGCTTTCTCTGCTCGTACGTCACGTAGTCATTTCCTATGTGTTCTATCTCTGTGCGACTCAGTAAACATTCCGTGTGGTTGCACTGTATTTTACACAACGGCTGCTGCTGAAATTGGCACCTGCACGCTGCTCATTTTCTCTGCTCTGCAATAAAGGTCTCAGGGCATGATTGGTGCTTGTCAGTAAAATTGATTTCCAAGGGTAATAAAAGTAGGATTTGATTGAAAGTTGAAGAAGTCGCTCAACTTTTTTTTTGTGGGGACAAGATTTAATAATATGAAAACACAACAGGATAACAGCAAAAAAGTAGTATGAGTAAATGTTCTACAGCAACAATATCATATGGTTGTTACGTTAAAGGTAGCTGCTGAATGCTAAATGCTAAACTTGTTGCTAAAAGCTATTAAAAGGAGGCTAACTGATTAGACATAAACAAATAAATAATGATTTTTATAGGAAAGGTTTTTTTTACAAATAACTTAAAGTATTAAACATGTAGCAAAACAACTAAAGTGTACACAAAGTTAGCAACACAGATTTCAAAGGCCTTAAGAAGAACACAAATAACGGGGTGAATAAAAATAATAATTTAAGGAACTTCGTTATTGTTTGATGCAATAAAAACTCCTGTCAGGTTCGTTTCTTCCTCTGTGAATCATTTTTTAGGCTCGAAAGGTCATCTGAGCAAAATCAGAAGCTCAATTTGGTTCAATAAGTCTAGCAGCCTTTCTTCATACTTCCCAGTATTTTCCTTGCTGATCTTTTGGTTAAGTCCACATCCACTTCTCTGCTGTCTGAATCACTGCTGCAAGACCCACAAGAAAACCCAATCTGACAATTATTGATTTTCTGCTTCTCTCTTGAAAACATGCATACCATTGATGCGGAACTACCCCTTCAACAGCTGCATCTTTCACCTTGCAGTCAATCACAAATCAAAGGCTCATCCTGACGTGTACACGGGGCAGTTGAGTAATGAGAGTTAGCTGACGCACGGTGGAGCAGGTGCTGCTGGGAGTGGAGCGGAGCTTCTCATCAACGCCAACAGTCCGCCCACACGTCGAAAAGAACTGGATAAAATAGAAACGGGACCGATGCGCCAATGCACAAGTGTAATGATCCGGCATCCACACAGAAACACTTTGCACAGGCGTGCATGAACGCCTACACGATAGCAAACCAATTAGTTCCTTATATAAGCTGAACAAGAACCCAGCAGCACACTGTATACAAACACCGACTCTCAGCATCTCTATTTAGAGAGCAAACCTCACACACACTCACACATGACAAAAAACACAATCATGTTGCACATACATTTTTAGATTTCTCTCTACAGACCTGCAGTCTTCAACACAAACACACTTCTGAGATGATCAAGATAGGGAACGCCGAACCGACGAGGAGTAAGGAGGAGTAAAAATAAATCTTTTACCGAGCTTCAATCACACTGATGTTCAGTCACATCATACATATGTCTGTCTGTATATAGAAAATGGACGTTCTCTTAAGAGTTTTATTTTTGAAAGAAAAAGAAAGGAAACAAAAGAAAGGCTGGCTCCAAAAAAACTCACATCCACATCTCTCACTCTCACTGGCTGAGCAGGGAAGTGTGGCAAAAAGAGCTAAAGTTTAACAGAAAATAGAAAGAAAATTGTAAGAAAACAGCTAAAAGTTACAACACAGAATAAAAAATAATAAAAAAAGTTAAAACAGTTAAAAAAAGGCTCAAATTGTTAAAAGGGAACACAATTCTACAGTCCAAAAATTCAAAAGTTAATTTAAAAAAAATAATACAAATTAGATCCTCAAAATGTTAAAATTATACACAAAACCTACAACTAAAAGTAATTATAAATACAACGACTATATGTTCAACTCAGACCAAATACTAAAACAGTCTATACAGCACAAATGAGGTTTTATTCAACTAAGTTGTCTTTTGGCAGAATTTATCTAGAATATATATATAATTTGGACAATAATAAATAATTCTATAATTTAAATAAAAAATAAAAAAAAAATTAAATTTTGACTAGTTCAAACGTTCTAAGTAATCATATAAGAGTTAATAGACAATTCAACCTATCGCTAGTCTCTGAAAAAAACAACACAGATCTGTCACTGTTTAAACTAAGTCATTGTCGATCGTCTCTGTAAGTTTTTCCACACTTACTGAGTTGATCTTCAGTGCCATAAATGACCTAATTCTAGATTAGGTTTTAAAAGTGTGGAGGAAATAAAACTGTTTTATAACATGTGGCCTGGGCTTGTTTTTGATCTGCTGCTCTGGTGGTTATTCATAGATCAAAGCTGGAGACTGGGGAGGAACAGACTGGGAGCATGTAAACAGTCTGTGTATAGGAATCAGACAATGGCTTACACAAAGTTGTCTCAAAACTTAAATGTGGAATTTAATTTATTCCTCCCTGAATTATTTCATCTATTTTTAGTCGTCTTTCTTTCAATTTGTTTCCCCGTGTGTTGAAGCAGCTGTTTACTGGTCACAGTTAGAGGTGTGTGTGTGTGTGTGTGTGTGTGTGTTGAACCTGGGCCGTGCACACAGATGCTCATGTGGGGCAGGGACAGATGACTCACTCTGTTTCTCACTAACCACCCGGATTCTGGAACAGTCAGATATTTAATGTTTCCTTGGAAAAGGTCAGAGGTCACGCAGTGATTATCAAATCAAAGACTGGTCAGGCCGGGTCTGTTTTTTATGTGCAGAAGAGTGAGTCAGAGGAAAAAGAAATTAGTGGGCTGGAGATGTACTTTTTACAGCACACAAGGGAAAACAAAAATCATCTTTATGGTCTGAAAACATCGATAGCTGGGCCGTATTATGGCTGTGAATATAGAGTGAAGGGTTTTTTTAAGGTTACGCTTATGTTGTGAACAGTATTCTATGAGTCATTGTGAAATGTAAAGACATATGTGTGATATTTGAAGTAAAGATAACTGAACTGTTCTGTGGTCTGGCCATCTGCTGCAGATTTAAAGGTGAACATGTCATGCAAAGTTGACCTTGTCAGGGTCTTACACAGGTATGGGTCTCTGAAGGGACTGCCGACTCTCAAGGTGTGAGATTTGACGACCATGTACACATTTTACGATCGTCCAAAACAAGTTGTTCAGATTTTACAAATGGTTATTACAATGATTTAATCCTGCTGCACAGGATTCTTCCCCCACGCTATCGCTTTTACCTCTGTGGGGATTCGCCATTTGCTGTACTAGCACACAATTGCTGGACTGCTACCACAAACCCGTACAACCCAAATGCCAACAAACAGCTGCTCAATTAGCACAGCAGCTCAGAATTTGAGCTACATTATTGAATTAAAGTCCATTATTCATCCCACAAAATGCAAATTCACAGTGCGAGTCTTTGCAACCTCCTATGGGTGGCACCATTAAGTATGGAGTTGCAACTCACAGGCTGCCACATGGGAGGCGCTATTAAATAGTGGTTCCTCTGGGTCTCAAATCCAGGACCTTCTGCGTGTAAGGCAGACATGATAACTGCTGAACTATGGAACCACTGAGAGAAGTGGTATTCATTTTGGGCACTACATGTGGTTCATCTGTAGCAAAACAGAGCAGGCAGCTGTAAAACCTTCATTAGTCTACTTATGAAGATGAATGAAATGTTGATGTAATTAACTTCAATCTTAACCACGACAAAACATTCAGGTTCAGTCTTGGCTCTCCTCTTTCTTCTGTGGCTTCTTCTAGGTCTGACTGGCTCAGATTATTGTCCAGTGTCCTGTCAGGTTACCATACCTTCCAGAATGGCATACATCCGTGTTAGTTGTAATGCTGAATAAATTCATCAAGAAAATGTTTCCACATCTTTAAACTTTAGAAAAGGATATTGGTAAAATACCTCATAAAAGTGAAAGGATTAAAAAAGTTTGGAACAAAACATTTTTTGTTTAAGAATCATTCAAAACTAATCATGAGTGTGACGAAAAACTAAAATATATAATGAGTAGGATGAGGCGTTATATCGTGGTTGGATCGTGTCTCTGTCACGGTCCCTTTCCAACATGAAAGTCAAGCCCTGATAAATGGTGGAGCGATTATTGTTATGATGCTCTACCTGTTGCACTTCACATTTTATTTCCAAAATTACACTGAAATCAGCATCTGCAGGACTTGGAGTAAAGTGCTGTAAATGTGCTCCTGGTTTGAGCCTCTGCACTGGATTGACTGAAGTGGGATTTAATGGCACAAAAGCAGAAACATTATCAGGTCATACTTGTGCATTTACTACCTCTGCCTGGTTTAAAAGCTCTGAATATATGAATATGTAAACAGTTTTGGTTTCTGTCGTACAGTTGGTATTTCCTATATTAGAGTTAAGTGCAGCGGAGGCTTCGAGTTTTCACCTAATAATGCTGAAAGCATCACCGCTGCATTTTTTTGGTTGTGTCCAAAAAAGCATTTTACTACACCCACCAGTGAAGCTCAGCTCTAGGGTCAGGACGGGGGAAATACTCCGCATTTAGTGGATAAATAGGGAAACAGACTTAGGTGTGTAAGAACCTGGGCATAAATCATTCTGCAAAGTGAAAGTCATATGTAGCTGTCAGTGCAGCAACAAAAGGAAACGTTTTTTGTTGGGAGATTTTGCAGGATGAACTGAAGTGAACTAAAGCTTTTACACTGAGC